TTTTTCCCAGATGAGACTGAGGATGCTCTCGGAGGTGTGGATACAGGCACCACGCAAACCACGCAAAGCACTTGTTCTTGGAGCAATTTTCACTCTCATGCTCTCTGAGCAAATGCTGCGGCCTTAAACCATGGCCAGTAATAGGAATTCATACGAGATCAGCGGAGATCACTTCGTCACAAGGTGAGTTCAGTGTTTGTGGTCCATTTGGGGAGGGACAGAGGTACACTGTTCTTATGCATTTTGTTCTGGATTAAAAGAAACTCACATTAAATAAATGTGGCTAATTTGGAATTTATGGGCATTCCACTGGTGCTGAATTTATCATCGTTCCCTTCCCTTAAAAGAAACCTTTGCTAAGAAGTTTGTTGTATAAACAAAAATGCAAAGAAATCCCTAGCAATTTAGAAAGAGCTCTTTTCTAACCTTTATGAGGCATCTTTGATATCATCAAAAAGTATCACTCAATATAAACAAAGGCCATGACTTCTATTAGATCAGCTGATAAGATGATCATTACTATTCGTTTCTATTTTTGGACTAATACTATCCAGCCTAGTGTGTTTTATTTTTTTGCAAAACATAAAAATGAAATTTGTTTCAAGAATAGTCTTTTTACCCATAAAACAATACTCAGTTAATTCAAAGAATTTAGAAAATCTAAACAACCACACAGAAAGAATACCCAAAATATACACTCAAAGGTAATTATTAATGTTTCAAAGGATTACTCTTAAAGAACTTATTTTTTTCTTTTTTGAGAGGTGTCAGTACGCAGTACAGGCTGGCCTTAAACTCCCCTATTTAGCCCAGACTGGCCTCAAACTCACAGAAATCCTCCTGTCTCAATCTCCCAAGTGCTGGAATTATACCACTACACCTGGAAAAACACTTTTTAAAAAATCTAACCATTTAAATATCAGATGTCAACAGAGCTTACTAAGCTATTTTTCTGACTTAACAACATATCATGAATATTTTCACGTACCTATATATATATATAACTTTACCTCCACACTTATAAATAACTGTATAATTTTCTATCTCATGTTGTAGTATAATTTGTGATATCTCTTATTGGACATTCAGATTGGTTATGATTTTTGTAATCGTAGAAGTGCAATGATCATATTTATACATAATTTTTGTATGTACCTTTTTGATTGTTTCTTATACTAAAATATTAAGAAGGAGATTGTCTAATAATAGCACACATTCAGTCAAATAAGCACCTAGGAACCAGTATTTTCTAAAGCTACCAGGTACTTGTGTGCTTTTGAGAAGCACTATACTGGATAACAGCTTGATCTTTGATTTTCCTTATAGTATATTTGCTATACAAAAAATATTAATAATTCTAATGCATTAATATTTGTCTTCACAGTTTCTGCTTTTTATTTTCTTTAAACTTTGCCTTTACCTTCTGTCATTAAAATATTTTCCCATATATTCTTCCCCCATCTTTTGGGGGACAAAATTATCAGTGTTTGGACCAGGCTCTTTTTATACCAATTTTAAAAACTGCTATTTTGACCTATTACAAACATTGGGGCTGGGGATTTAGCTCAGCGGCATAAGTACCTGCCTTGCAAGCAGGCAGTTGTGAGTTCGATCCCCGGTACTGATAAAAAATGAAAAAAGACAAAAAAAAAAAAAAAAAAAGAAAGAACCAAACATCTTTTTTCCCAAATTTGTTCAGACAGAACCAAGAAAGAGTAACTTTGGTAAAAGTTACATGAGATGTTTATTTGTATGATGCCTCCATGGCCCAGGGGAGAAGGCACTTTGTGACTCTGCTCCTTACATTGCAGCGCTTCATCTTAATTTGCACCAGTATCAAACACATGTCTGGGACTGCATTTGACTGATGTGCTCTAATTCTGATTTAGCAAGAGTTACTAACAACATGTTCAGTGCCAGGTGAAATATTTCAATGCCAATGACCAAAATGGGAAAGAAGTACCAACAAAAATAACCAGGGAACTCCCTGCGTGTCATGGCCACACACGGGCTGCTGGGGTGACAGCAAGATACCTCCCCCTTCCTGCACAGGAACTGGGAGACAGGGAGAGCTGAGGCCCCACATGCACACGTGCTGGAAGCAACTGGCTGACCTGGAGAAACCCAGGCTGTGATGACAGCTCTTGAGGTAAAATACAACTTAATGCTTGTGGTGCTTAGTGTTTCACTGACTTTGCGGGCCTGACCTGGTGGTCTGATCATCTATTCAGAGGCTAACAATACACAGGGTAGCATCTGGGAGGATCTTCTTCTCAAGGTGGTAGCCATTGCTGATTTCCTGTTACCTTGTTTTGAAATGCTGTATCATTTTCACTGTTTTGTTGGGTCGGGTTTGATTCTGTTTTATCTTGTTTATTATATTCAATGGCATGGGCCACTATTTCAAAGATGGCAAGATACATTATTGTAGCCATTTTGGATTTGCTACTATCTTGTTTTGAAGTCCTTTAGTATGTCTGAAGGTATGGGCAGCTATTTTGAAGACAACAAGAGGCATTACAGTTACCATTGTTGATTTCCTATAATCTTGTTTTGAAGTTCTGTATCGCTTGTACTGCTTTGTTTTGATTGGCTTTATTCTGTTTTATTTTGCTTCATTTTATTTGCTTTAAAATAAAAATTACAAAAAAGAAGAAGAAATGAGAAATAACCAGGGAGGGAGATTAAGTTGCACAGAAGTAGTTAATTCTTCCCGGTCCAAACGTGAAGCTTGCTGAGGTCTGTGAAGAGGGTGCAGGTGGGTCTGAGGCTGTTCAGAAGCAGGCAGCATTTGGTAAACTTGCTCGGGGAGCCCTAGGCAGTGCGCGCTGGCCTCTACCCTCTGTGTGACTAATACTGCAGAAACACAGTACATGTTTACTGTTCTTTTCAGCGTCGTTAGGAGCACCACACTTCTTCCTCTGTTGTGACTGCGTTTTCCTGCTCTCTGTGTTTGTCCAGACTTCTTTGCTACCTTTTCTAGGTGTCTGGACTTTTGGACGCAGGTAACTGAAACCAAAGTTCAATTGGCTGGAGCAAAAAGCTTAATTATAGTTTCTGTTTTCATTTTTATGGCACAAGTACACATGCAGGCAAGGAAACTATTGTTTGGGATCATTCGCTACTGTTTGAGGAAGTTTGGAAGCAAGTCAAGAGAGATTAAAAGAGGGTGTTCAAAAGAAAAGTGAAGGGTTTGCCCTATTAAGTTGCTTTTGGTCTTCTGGGCAGTACATATAAAGCTCTTAATCTCGGCTCCGCCAATTTTTCATAGCAGTAAAATACACATAACAAACCTTGTCATTTTAATCATTTTGAAATATATAGGTCAGCAGCAGAAAGTAGATTCATATTCATCCAGCTCTAGAACTTTTTAATTCTTGATAATTTGCGTTGGATAATTCCTCATTATGAGGGTAGCAGGGTCTGGCCTATGTATTTTAAGGTTTTTGTTTTGTTTTGTTTTTTAGACAAGGTCTCACTATATAGCTCAGGCTGGCCTCACACTGAGGCGATGCTCCTGCCTCAGCCTCCCAAGTGCTGCGATTACAGGCATGGGGCACCCCTCCTCTCTGTCTGTTTATTAGAAGATGCTCAATAGCATCCTGGCTGCTGGGATTCCTGTACCCTAACAGCATCTCCACCCTCTTCCACCCATCTTGATAATTCAAAATGTCTCTCTACATTGCCAGATATCCCCCGGAGGTAAAGTCACTCCTAGTTAAGAACCACCAGCTTAAAAACAGTAATTTGGGTGTCGATTGAACAATTTGTTCCTTCAGGTGAAGTTCAAATTTTATTTTTTTAGTGGCTTTGAGAGAATTTTCATTTTACTTCTCCAAATGGGTAAACATTTATTTTAAGACATATTGCCATACAGTATTGTCGGTGTAGCAAACCTAGCCACTCTGGATTTCTCGAAGAGGTGTAATTTGTCGTCAGATTCCTGAGTGCTCCTCTGTCTCCGCCCTTGTGCTGAGCGGGGTGACACGGGTGGAGAGACAGCAGTTCCTCTGCGTGTTCACGGCAGCACAGATCAGCTCAAGTCTCTCTTGGAAAGGAATCTTTTCTTTCACAAAATGCAACATTTCCTGAGAAGGCTCAGCAATAGGATGTTTTGCCTTTTGGTTTCAATATGATTCACTCTGAAGTAATACCTTCAACATCTTTTTATTGCAGATATCACCAGAATTTCCTGTTAGCTAATTATTTCCTTTTACTGCATTTATCAGACAGCTTCCTATATTACAACCAATATAATGTTTTGGCTTCTGGTTTCAGTATGTTTTTGTACAAATATACAGGGAGAGATTCTTCAGTCGAATATATCGGAGAGACAAACTGTTCCATTCATTCAAATTTTCATAGAAAGTTGTATTTTCTCTTTGAAGAAATAACTTAGGAAATATATGTTACAAGCACTTATTAATGTTAGACACAGAACTACTGTAACTTGATTATGTGTCAGATCAATTCTGCTTTCAGTAGTAAATAAATAGAGCATTCAATGCCAGTAGAGCTATAATTTACAAGTACCCTGATGGTATTGCTTCAGAATAGCTAACTGATCAGAAGTTTTCTGGATTGGAACTGACAGCTTTGTATGCATGGATGAAATGTGTAGGGCTGAAAAATGAAATATAAACTTGAGAAGTTTATTTTATTTTATATTATATATATTTTGTAAAATAACATCTACCAACTTTCTGGAAGATAGTTTTTCTGTGTTCTGATGCATAATAAATATCTGCCTTAGAAATTGTTATTTTACATCATCCTGAGCTATATATTAGGTAGCTACGATGAACAAGACAGCATAGACATTCAAGGAGTGTGGTAATTGCGTACCAAGAAATACGTGAAGTTTACCAATCCAGATGTGATTCTGCATCCAATTCTTGCAACACCTAAAATGATGGAGCTTGCATAATATTTTAATTTTTAAGGTTCTAAGGAATATTTTCCACACATTAGGGAAATATTGTGGGTTATTTAGTTCTATGGAAACAAGGCAATGTTTTTGCGTTGTTTAAAATAGCTGATAGTAATCCTTAGATATGAAGAACCAGTTAAGAGAAAAAATTCAGTTATGGGATACCAAATTTTAGTTTTATTATTTATTTTTAGTAGTTGTCATGGTGATATAGGAATGATATAGGCCCTCCAAATAATGCAAACATTGTAAGAGAAACAATGTAACTCCCAATCTGACAGATTGGGAACATGAGTTCATGTTCCCCAGAATCAAAGAATGAATTCTAAAGAGCATCAGGGGTTCAGAGCAGGAAATATTTATTGGGTTTTGTCTAAGACAGAAGGGGGACCTAGAAAATGGTAACCAATCAGCCCACTTCTCAGGAGAAGCTTTATGGAGTAAAATCACAAGGTCAGTATAAGGTGGGGCAAAACTATGGTCAAGTAATAGGATTACAAGTACAGTCACAACCTAGGCAGCTTTTTTGAAGATAACAACATGCAATCTAAGAACCACTGTTAAATCCCTGTCATCTTGAAATCCTGGCGCGCTATTGCTTTCTGTTGTTGTTTGCTTTTATTGATGTTTTCTTTGTTTGCTTCTTGATGTTTCTTTATTTTTTCTCCTTAAAAGAAAAAAAATTATAGTCACTTAGATAATACTGGTGCAGTGGGGAAGCAGGTCACATAGCAAGTGTACAGGGAAAGGACAAGGACCTTTCCTGGAAGGGAGGGGTCAGGAAGGTCTTGGTGACTGGCGCCTGTTTAGAACACCAATCACTACTGCTGATCGCTGGGGAATATGTAGGTGTCGTCTTTTATGTTGAGGCCGGACTTCCAGTGAAAGGGACTCCACCCACAATTGCAACGCATTCCATCTTCTGCAGACTCTTGAGGGCCCTGCCCTGTCTGGCTGCCTATAATATCTCTAACTAGGGGCTGGGGATTTAGCTCAGCGCCATAAGCTCCTGCCTTGCAAGCAGGCAGATGTGAGTTTTATCCCCGATACCGATAAAAAGGAAAAAGAAAAAAAAATATCTAACTAACTTGGCTGTCTACAATAATCTATTTTACTTATAGCAATTCGGAAAAGAAAAAGATTTAAAATTTTAAAACTGGCAACTACTGCTATTTGGTTAGTCTCTTGACCTCTGCAGATCTGAGTTTTGCTTTCATCAAATAATGGGATTCTAGTAGATAATTCAAATAGTTTAATTCAAAAACAGAAAAATGAGGATTCAAATGAAGCACATCTCTCAAATGAACTATGCCCTTAACTATTCAAATAGTTTATCAAAATAGTCCTAAAATAAAGACCAAGTTAGCTTTTGAAATTGAAGTAACAAGGTTCTAGTAGATCAAATTTTTGGTTTTCCACACATGTTGAGAAGAGGAGCTATCAGAATATAAACCACACACTGTAAAGTAAGATTTGGCAGTCACACTAACACTTGTACCTTGATTTTGAGGGAAACTAGACAAACAATAAATTAAGAAAGAGAACAAAATTGATTCTGTTTTTTGTCTGATTATAGATAACAGGCTGCAATGGCATCATAAACAGTATGCAAGATAGTATATTGATATAAAAGATTTTATTTATAATGCCTTTATCCACAATTATTAACATTTAATAAAAATTTTCAGCTCTCCTAGGAAGAAATGTGTCCTTGATCTATCCAATAACATATATTACCTCATTTAACAGTTCCAGAAACTTTTTGAGTATCATTAACTAGAATTTCTAATGATACAAAAATTCTGTATCATTACAGACGATATAACAACTTACACCATGTTCCAAGTTCCACATGAATTTCCTATTATGGCCTGATTAGGGATTATTCTAAAACGTGTGATTGTCAACCTAATTACCCATACAGAAGACTCATAGCTTGGGATTCACCTGATCATCTCTGATTTAGGTTTTGGTGAATGGTCCAAATTATGATCAAGCTTAAATTAGAACGTCTGCTGTCTTTTATCTGAGTCTGTGTCTGGGAGAACTCTCTTAGTTTCCTGCAACCCACCCCCTTCTCTGAATGTTGTCCCTCACAGTAATGCCTAAAGAATGGACATTTTCCCACAGACCCCCGCTGGTTCTGAATGAACAGACCCTCAGCCTCCCACCGACTTGAGAAGATCATGCTTATCCCCGTCTCTGCTCTTTACTGACAGCCTTCATAAAAACTTGCTCAGAAGACAAATGGCACGGCAGCACCTCTGAACTCATTCAGGCAGGCACAGTGGACTTCTGCCAACTATCTCTCCCATTTTGAATGTGACCTAAGGGCCCTTTTTGATGCGCTGGAAGAAGGATGCTGCTGAGAGCCACGATTGCCTTTTGTCAAAAGCAGCGGGAAGTCACCAGGCAATTGTTAAAGGAGGAGGTGGTGAAGATGTCACTGTATAGATCGTCTGTTGCAGTTTGCTGTCGCACTTGCAGCGTCCTCTGTGTGGACGGTCCTTCTCTCCTTGCTTGCTTACCCTTCCAGAGCCAGCCAGAAGGCACATTTCCAACTGAGGCCCCCAGGCAGGGCGCTGCCCTTCCTATGGGCTCTGCTAGAGAAAGGAGCATCTTGCAGGACCATGCATACAGTTAGTCGTCTGTCTTGACCCAAGTAGTGACTCCTCAAGAACCGTGTCCAATTCACTGTCACACTGCCTGTGCCCAGAACAGTACCTGGCACACAGCGCGCACTGGTCATTGTGATTTTCCCGGCATATTTTCATGTTGGGACCAGAGCCTACTTAGCAAATGGCAACAGGTCAGAGAAAATATGGACCAGTTCCAGCTCCTCGATGACTGTATCTTTTCAATTCCCTCATTTGCTAAAGATGGGGATTGTAATGATTCCTACCTCGTGGAAGTCAGCTTTTAATAATGTTTTCAGTTTGTTGGTTTTTGTAATTACGTATCTATTCGAGGTTTCTGTCATTTGTTCTTGCATCAATTATGATAATTTGTATTTTCCTCAAAATCAAGCACATCTTGTTTTAATTTGCTTTCATAAAGTAATAATAAATATTCCTCCATTTATTTTTTCTGTGCATCTGGCTATATTCCACTTCTGGGTTGTATATAAGTATGTTTTCCTGCCTTTCTATTTTCCTTTTTCTAGAGAGAAATATGTCAAAATATTCAAGGTGACTTTCTCTGGGTGATAAGATCATGAGCTGTTTTTATTTTTATATTTTTCTGTATTTTTCAAATGCTTGGAAACCAGTACAGATTATCATGTATTCACAAAAATGTACTTTAAAAAAAATCTTGGGGCTGGGGATTTAGCTCAGTGGCATAAGCGCCTGCCTTGCAAGTGTGTGTTCGTGAGTTCGATCCCCGGTACCAATAAAAAAGAAAAAGACCCAAAAATATGGTAAAAAAAAAAAAAAATCTTTCCATTTCTTTCTTTTCCAATATGGAGGTTGAAGCCAGGAAGGTTTCATAGAGGGTCACGGCCCTTAGATGAACACCAGAAATCTGCACAGGATCAGCCAGTTATCTGCTGTGAGAGCCGTGAACCCCATTTCTCTGCTTCTCCTCTGGTAGAAAGAAACTCGGCCACCAAACCACTTCACTTCCTCTGGTTCTCATCTGAAATGAAGAGGATCCAAAGACGGGGGGCTAGGAGGCAGAAGGGAAAGGGGAGTCAAGATGTATCATGTACACGTGCCAATGCCACACACGGATTGGAAACATTGTGTACTGCACACAGGTACTAATAAACTAAAACAAAATTCTTTATTAAGTGGCGATTGTTAGAATTGGGGAGATCACTGAGAATTACTCATTCACTTTATGGGGTAAGTTGGATTTGGGAGAACTCAGTGTAGAGTTGGTAATAAAAGAAAATTATTGTGTAGCTAAAGGACAGCTCAGTTAACACCCAAGGGCAACACACATGGCACCGGGTGAAATACATTTGGATGTATAAACTACTTATTCCAATTTTAAAATTTCCTAGGATCCCACACCAAGCATGGGAACAACCAAGAACAGTTAGACACAGAGCTGCACTCTCAGCACCCAAAATATAGATTTTTCAAAAACTGGGAGGAGACTTGTTTAACTCAAGAAAAAGCGATATGTGGTCCAGCTTGAATCAGTAAATATTTTGAGGTTACTTACTTTAATTCTTTTACTAACTATAAATAGAAATGCCTGAAACACTTGGTTAAGGAACTGTTCTCTAAAGGACTCTCTGTGATTAGACTTTAACTGTCAAAGAACTCTCAAACTGTCCTATAAATCCGTCAGGGACAGGCAAGGCATTTCCCCCACCCTTAAACTTGAACTGACTCACCTGCTAATGACCACTTATCAAATACAATAATAACTGGACCTTTTCCTTGTAAGATATAAACTTGATGAGAGCGAACTCTTTACTCATTCATTGCTCTAAGACTGTCAGCAAACCTTCAGAACCTGTGAGATGAGCTGCAGTGTTTAACAGAGTCCTAAGTGAATAATGTTAATCAGAGTGTGCCAAACAGCGTGTGAGGACCACCAGGCTGTGCCTTAAATGTCATTCGTGTATTACTCAGAGTAACTCCAAATACTGTTAGCATCTCCGCTTGCCAAGTGTTGAGGTTTAGAAAGATCATGAAACTTATTCAAGGCCGTGTACCTTGAAAATGGTTTGACCAAAATTTGGCTCAGGTCTGTCTGATTCCAGAGCTGGTCACTGGACTGATCTCTACCCTCAATGTTTGGTGGCTGAATAGCTGAGTGAAATTTTACTTGCAGAAATGTGCATTTATTTTGAGACTTTTCCTAGAAAAAGAAAAGGATTTCTGAGTTCATAAACATTTTCAAAGAGAAAGAACAACTATAAGTGACCGTGAGATTTATTTTACTACATTTTGACACCATCGTTATATCCATTGCTATATGGATTGGTTCTATGTTGACTGTAACTGTATATAATTATGTATTAATTCATGTCAATTGTAACTGTAGACACTATCAATTGTCAGTAATACGCCAACTTTAGATACATTAAGACGTGCATCTTATCATAGATCATACTTGTAATATGTAACTACATACTTTTTCTGTACTGCAGTGTAAATTTTTTCCTATAAATACTGAGGCAGTCTAGTGTAATGGCCAAGTCCAAGCTAGACTAGATGACCAGTCTGTCTGTTTTCAAGTCCCAGTCTGCTGCTTATAGTCTTGGGGAAATTAGTTAATTTCTCAGATTTTGGAAACATCAATAAAATAAGAATATAGTAATAATAACAATAATACCGTCTTCTGGATCATTCAAGATATATTCATTAGACCTAGCTAGGGATTTTTAATTTAATTTCTAGGAATGTTTGAGAAAAATAAATCAGATTAATTGCTTAAAATGTCCCTCAGTCATCAGAGGACATAGTTCTCTTTATATGTTGTTTTCAAAGATTCTTTTAATTCAAAGACATTTCACTGTCTTCAGGAGGCGTCCAGGCCTGAAGATGGCCTAAAAAGTCATCTCAGGAAGTTGTTGCTGTGAACTCAGCTCCAGCTGACTTAGACCTTGTATCAGGGAGACTTTACAAGGGTTCATTTCCTTTGTGAGCCAGCTACATTTGCATATGGAAGACCCCAATCCAGGGTCCTGGTTGTTCGCCTCATTCCAGC